CTTGATCGATCACCCCAATAAACAACTTTCCAGGAAGCACTGGCTCTTCAGTTTGTTTGTTTATTTATTTATTTATTGAGACAGAGTCTTGCTCTTGTCACCCAGCCTGGAGTGCAGTGGTGCCATCTCAGCTCACTGCAACCTCCATCTCCCAGGCTCAAGTGATTCTCATACCTCAGCCTCCTGAGTAGCTGGGATTACAGGTGCACACCATCACGCCCAGGTAATTTTTGTATTTTTAGTAGAGACGGGGTTTCGCCATGTTGGCCAGGCTGGTCTGGAACTCCTGACCTCAAGTGTTCTGCCTGCCTCAGCCTCCAAAGTGCTGGGATTACAAGTGTGAGCCACCTCGTCCAGCCCTCTTCGTTGTATTTATTACAAACTCTGGGGTGGAGACTCCTCTTGCAGAAGCTTTGATACTTCCCCCTAAGCAGGTGTAATCTGATGTGATTTTAAGGGTTTTAGACACTTTCAGAGTTTTATAAGAATAAGAAAGCGAAGTCTTATTTGTGAGAAATTATTTCATTTGCAATAAAATATTTACAAATGCAAAGTGTTCCTTTCAGCAACCATTTCTTTTTCACTTTCCTTCACCTCTCATTCCTGAAATTGCTCTTTAAAATAAATCATACATTATGTCATTCTTTTTTATTCTAACAGGTTTCTCTTACTTCATAACATCAAACAGAGTGGGATTTCTAAATATGCGTGCTTAAGGCTGGGTGGCTCATGCCTGTAATCCCAGCGCTTTAGGAGGCCAAGGAGAGAGGCCAGGAGTTTGAGACCAGCCTGGGCAACAAAGCGAGACCTTGTCTCTACAAAAATAATAATTAACTAATTAATTAATTAAAAATTAGCCAGGTGCAATGGTACATGCCTGTAGTCCTAGCTACTCGAGGGACTAAGGTAGAAGGATCGCTTGAGCCCAGTTCAAAGTCACAGGGAGCCATGATCGCACCCTTGCAACCCAGCTTGGGCAACGGAGCAAGAACCAGTCTCTTAAAAATAAAATAAAACAACAAAAAAGGTTTTTTAAGTTCCCTGTTCACAGCAGGGCTCGGTAGTTCATGCCTGTAATCCTAGCACTTTTGGGAGGCTGAGGCAGGCGGATCTCAAGGTCAGGAGTTCGAGACC